AGATCCTTTGTTTATGTTATATAACATTTTTGACAATATGGAAAATTTCTTCATGACCAGGGTCTGACTGGGAGAGGGCTGGCAATACCAAATCACGCTCCTGTGACTGTCTCGTTAAAACCATTGTAGAAAGAAGTTCCAGATAAAATAGAAGAACAAAATACCTTTTCACCATTAAGGTGAAAATCTGCATCACTAAAATAAACACAACCACCTGTTTCTTTGAGCCAATTTCTCAGTGAAGAGTGGTTTAAAATTGTCACAGACAACAAACCCACAAAAAGGGTTACAGAAGCATCTTTAAGAAAGTTATGACTTTAAAGCAGAAGCCAAGCCCTGGACAAACCACCAAGGCACATCCATGTAATTAAAATCTCCCAAAATTGATTCTGTGATTATAATGTTTAAAGTAAATTTATTAACAATCTTAATTACTGTAATAAAAATATAAAACCCAGTCACAAAATAAAATTCTACAGAGATTGTTATGTATACAGAAGGTTTTAAATATCTGAAAAATGAAGGAGAAGCTGACATTTTCTCAGTTCTCCCACTCAGTGAATTTTTATTGCATGTGTATTTCCATAAAAACCCAGTTAGTTAAATTATCAAAACACCACAACACAGCTTGCTGTAATTTCATAAGCCAAGTCTTACTGCAATTTATAAGTGGTTACACTTGAGTGCTTCCACACTGGCTCAGCAGCACAGCACCCAACTGCATTAATGTTTCAGCACAAAATTCTGCTAATAAACACAGTACTCAGCCACCATTACCCTGCTTTAAACAACACAAGACCTCAGTATAAGCAGGTCAATACATGTGAGACTACTTATGCTCTTTAAATTGACTTTGATATAAAGGTAGCAGCAGAGAGCATCGTCAAGCAATGGGAAGTTCATCAATAATAAGGCAGGAAAAACACAAACCCAGGAGAAAGCTAAAGCATATGGCTTCAGTCACGGGTATCACAACGACTGCTCCAACAAAAACAAGTCAAGAGAAAAAGACACCCCCTGAAAACAGTGTTAGTCAGCTTGTAACACTGTAAAACTGCAGCTCACACGTTCTTCATTCAAACTAAAAATAATTAAAGAAAAAGAGCTGAGGATGTTTACTATCAAGTAGCAAAAGGGGGAAAAACAATACTAGGATGCACTCTGCCTCTGTGGCAGCATGCCCAGAAAGCTTGAACTGATATTTTAAAGTCCAGGGCGACAATTTTTTTACAATCAAAGCCAAAAATGCCCCTTAACCCACACACAAAAGCAATCTACCACCTAATAAGCCAGTGAGGTGCACTACTACCATGCTACTTTCTGTGCTGCTGACAACAAAACACAGTCCTTCCTAAAACACACCAGCCCAGTACACCAGATAAGAGCAAATAAATCTCTAATAAAAACATTAAAATCACAACACAGGCAGAGACAATTGTTTAGTTAAGACCAGAGAGAACATCTAAGCATAAAATACACATTTATAGCAATCCTTCCAGAGTCTGAATGCATTTCACAATTCCATTTTACTCGTCATTCAGTCAAAGAGGGTTCACTCAGGCAGAGCAGAAGACACTTCTGTCACTATTGAACACACACATTTCTTTAGGATGTCCCAGTAACTTAGAGCTATGGACCTGAATGAAAAGTCGAGAAGAAGGAGGAATGAAGGATGGAAATCAACCAAAGAAATATTTCATTCAATCATCAGAAGAAAATGCATTTAATCAGAACACAGGGCAGCACTAAATTTTTCATAACACAGGACATGAAAATGTACCTAACTAGATTATTTTAGCAGCAGTTTTTACCTTAAATCTCTTCTTCAAAGAAAAAAAAGAAATATCTGAATTCACTGCTCACGAGCGATCATCCATTTTATACCAAAACAATACTCTACACACAAACTTTACAGACAAAAGGTCTATAGCATCACTTATATTACTCTTGTATTTAAAGACTCCGTTGCCAAGGTCATATCCTGGCATAAAGCCTGCTCACTATTCACATTAGTATTCATGCTGGTAATCCTGCTACCTTCAGATGGTCAGCTTACACGGTTGTTAAACCTGTTCAAATTCTTCACTTGTACATTACCAGTTACATGGAATTTAGCTATGTAATTCCCACTAGAGCCAACTTAAGATATGTAGATGTCTGAATTGCTATGCCAAAGATTAATATGAATCCTTTTAAAGTCAGCCTGAGAAGCTGTGATGAGTGAAAAGAACCTGCTCTGGCTGATTTCAGCAAGGTCAGAGGCAGCCCAGTTTTGAGTTCTTGAAGCATCAGTCAACACATAAAAAGCAAAACCCCATCCCTCTATAAAACAAGCACAAATAGTAAATCTTGTCCTGCTTTAATCAATATAGCTACTAAGTTGATACTTAAAAATACACTTAAAAGCAAAAAACAAACAGGAAACTCAGCTTTATTTCTACACCACAAATGCAGACATAGTGTCCTATATTCTACTTGAGAAAGACAAGTCAGATCCATCATCAAGGGGTGCACATACACAGACAGATCTCTTACTGCTTCAAAAACACTGAACAGTGGCTGCCTTTATGTCCATAAAATATATGGTGATAAAAAGGATAATGCACTCACCTGATTAAATACGAGCTTGGTCTTATTTCTTCCAGCACAAGCCTCATTTTCAAAAATAAAGAAGTGTCTATTGATGATTAATTTTAATGGCCTTTGATCACACATACACCTTTCCCTATCAGAAATCTAAGAACTTTAAGCTTAGAAACACTAAAGTTCACAGTACCATTCAGCTCCATAATAACAACAACTGAGTTGTATCAACATTATTATTATTATTATCTATGGCAGGCACATTCTTCTCTCAAGATTTTTTCATAGGGGAGCACAGAGAGAAGAAAGAAAAAGCAATTTCTATATCTGCTACTTGTTTTTTGCCCATGTGAAATGTGTTTGGAGAATTGCTTACCTGGGATGATTGTTTAATTGGATTCAGGTGAGGATTGTTTGAGCCTGATGGCCAATCCAACCCACCTGGGGCTGGACTCTCAAGAGGGTCACAAGTTGTGAGTTAGTTATGGAAGTTAGAAAAAGTAGATTTGTAGTTTTAGTATCTCCTTTAAATAGTATATTAATGTATTATAGTATAGTTATAATAAAGAAATCATTCAGCCTTCTGAACTGGAGTCAGACATCATCATTTCTTCCCATTGGGTTCACCTGCATTTACAATAATTATTCCAAAATGATTTTTCCCAGTAAGCAGAAGTCTAAGCAAAGCTCTCATCAGTAACCTTTCCCTGAAAAATTCTATAGGAAATGAAATGTAATACTCTATTTAAAGACTTGTTTTGCAAACAGAAAGGAGAGAGATCACCCAAGCATGCAGAGTCATTAAAATGGATCTTACATATATCATTATAAATTTAATAATCTCCATGACGGCTAGAGTTCAAGTTAAAATGAATGTCAGCAAAGCATGACCAATTGATGTTATCCCAGCTGCCACTGAGCCTCACTTGGGGTTATATTATACATTCAGAGGCCCCATGCTACATGTGCACCAAACACCCAGAGCCAGGAGCAGATGGGAGATGTAGGCTCCCATACCTATCAGCAAGGAGAGACAGACATAATTGCATATTAATTTTGGTGCATCAAAACAATTACAGCATACTTCGGTGTCACGGGTCACAAACATTTTTCCCATCACACCCCAAATGCAGGATAATGTTGTACACTTCAGAAGGGGGAGGAGAAGTGCTCTAGCAGCCTCCAGAAATTAAGTCAATAGACAGATTTTGTTTCAACCCTTATTGATTTACTTGAGTCCCAAAATGCTTCCTCGAAAAAAGTAGAAGGAAGACCTTGGCAGCTTGTCAGTTAATAGATTATGCTTGGTGCAATTAAGATACATTCAGGAGTTTTATTTTGTTCCCCAAACGCCATTTCTCTCCAAGCAAGCAGCTGCATTTTATCCAATTTCTGAAAGTTTTCCAGGCTGCTTAGATTTCTAATGGGGTGACAGAGAAACCACTTTTATTCTTCAGCAGACCTGATGAAACTGTGACACAAACCTCCTTCTCCCTGAAATTAGACAGTGCTGTTGAACAGCAAAATAATAGCTGACGGTCATTTTTTTTTTTTTCAAGCTCAGTTTTCAACTGAAATAAAAATCATACAGGGGAAAGGAGCTCTCCACACAGAGCTGAACACGGCATTTTCTATTCCCCATCAACTCTGCATGGAGGACAACATCAATGATTTATACAGCAGAAACGTGTCAAGTTGTAGTGTGCTTGACTGGCACCAACAAAACAACTTTGGAGTCCCAGCTCTTCACAAGCTACAGTTTTGTCTGAGACAAGGACTGCACTTAGGTCAATTTAGTGCACCAACCCATTAGGATGGGATAACTCAACATCACCCTGACACACAGAGCTGCCACAAAGCACTTGTGCAAAATAAGGGGCAACATCTGGCATTAAGCACGTTCCACTGTACATTTTGATTCAAGCCAAAATTACATCTGGCAACTACAGCAAAATGCAAACAGTTCCACCAGGACAAGGACACTGACAAGTGCACAGTATTCTCAGCAAATGAAAACACCAAACATCAACAAAGCATTTTTTCTAACCTCTCCACTAATGATATCAACAGGAAAAAAAGAAGCTAAACTTATAACAAATCAATACCCTAACCAGACTCAGTAAGTGCCAGTATACTTCATTTGCACTGTATGTCTCTTCATCAACAACCAGTCAAAATTCTAGAGATTGTTTCAATCTTTCACTCATATCATAATTTCCCCTTCTCTCAGCTCTCTGCTCCATAGATTGGAAGAAGAGAAAGACAAACATTTACTAAAACACAGTGAAGAGATCTACAGCTGGCTGAGCAAAGCAAGCAGCAAGTTCAAGTGATAAAAGCATTATGTGGAACTATTCTGCCACTTGCATCTCCTTCAGTAATTTAAGCAGAAAGTGTTCCCACCTTTTGTCACTTACCCTTTTTTGATCTTCCAGTCCATGTGTCACAATCTTTCTTTTCTGATGTTGGCTGGATTCAGAGCCAGATTCCATTTCCCTGCTACAAAGACTCTTGCAGCCTCTTCAAGCTTTCTCTAAAAATCCATAGTATAAACAACAAAAATCTAAAAATAATTTAAAAAAAGGCAAGACAATTCCTTCAAACCTCGTCCATTGTCTTTTATCATTCTTCCAAATTCCTGTTTGCCATCACTGCTCATTATCCTAACAAGCAGCCATTCTGTGCGCCTCTGTATCCTAGAGTAGCTCAGATGAAGGTTTCCATGTAAGTGCCTTACAGAATGATGGCAGAGCTGAATCCAAACCCGGTGGTTTGTGCCACATTACTGCTCCATCAGCAGCCTTTTCAGCGCATTCCTGGCACAGATAATTTATAAGTCAATAAAGGTGTAAACGTGAATTTAATCCACTGTGTTGATATTATCAGCATCCCTCTCATGGGCCGCCTTCCTCCCATAAATCAATGTAAACGCTTCGCAGTGATAACTGCCTTTTGCAAATCTAGCAGGTGTTAATTACGTAAAATCATCCATGCACACTTGTCATCTTCCTCTATGTATTCAAACAAATACCTAAAAGAGGGATGGAAAAAATAGCAGTTTTTACCAGCTTGAAAGAAAACACAGCTACTGATGTTCTTTGTCCACCACCAGGAGCTGCAAGTCAGAACTGATACAATAATGACGTGTTTTGAACATGCTACACTCCTCGTCCAAGCTACTCAAAATGCTTTGATGCCTGTTTAGAGTGTTACCTTGCCTTTGGGGCGTCTTGCACAAAACCAGCCCAGAATGACAAAACTGTACATGGGAGCTGAACCCACTGCAACAACACTGACTGAAGCCTCTCAAGCATCAACTCAAAACTCAGCTTTTCAGGGTTCAGAGTCCCAGACCTAAAGTCAAATCCATTATTCTTCTGGGGTCTCCTACCCAAGGATCTTTCTCCACAGTCTGTAAAGTTAATGAGTGCCACCTCCCAAAATCGTGAGTACGATAAAGCAGCAACAAACAGATTCTACTATTACTTGGGAAAGAAAGCTGAGCAGAGCCTGAAATCGCAGCTTAACAGGTCAACCAGCTTAAAATGCTGTTCTTTTTGTACTGAGAAGCGCAAGTTTACTACAAGAGACAAAGAGTCTCCTGGGTTAATTTGTAAGGTGGGATCAATAGCAGCATTCTTCAATATACAGGCACCAGGAAAAACACATTTACTACACTGAATTCCATACTGAAAAGGCTAAACATTCAATCAATTTCAGCCACCTTAGCTAAACATGATATAAAGAGCACATATTTAGCTGCATGTTGTTACAAGCCTGGTAAGCACCAAAACATCCAAACCTGTGTCCTGTGCAGCAAAGGAACTAATAAATAAAAACATCATCACTCTCCCACCACTGAAGGATAAACAGCATAAAAAATAGATTTCTCACAGCACAGTGGAAATGCTTGTTCTGCATGCTGACCTCCCTTGTTATGCCAAGGTAAAGATCTTGACAAGACAACAGGTAGAAGTACTGCTCTTGCCTCTCACTGCTCCTCGCCATGAGGCAGTAGGTCATTAAGCCAGTTTTTCTTCTAAAGAGCCCAGGAAGGAACACAGCTGATTGCTTTGCCATTTGAAAATAATCTAAAAACACATCTAATCCGTTTTACAGAGAAACGGGAGGTTTCCAATTCTATTTTAAACCAGAATCTCCTCCTGATCTGTGTTCTCAAACCTGCCAATAGCCACAGAAATCAGACAGGTACCTCAAAGGCAATACATGGCCTCTGACCTTAGCAACAAATATCACAAGCAAAAAAAGCCCAAATTTTATAAATATCCTTAAGTCCCACTGAGGAAAACTTTTCCCCTCCAGTGATTTCACTGTGATGTGACACATGAGACTGCATCAGTCACATCGTGTAATGCCATGCTGGAATAGCATGACATAACCAGTGCAACTAAGGACAACATGGAAGGTCCCCTCAACTAGGAAAAAAAAAAAAAAAAGATGAAGAAGAAAAAGTGCAGTCTCTGGAAGTTCCTGTGCATTCAATGTTCCAGCTTCAATCATAATGGAAAGACGTGAGGATCTATTTGTACGTAGTACTTAGTACATACCTGCAACCTAAGACCATGTGTTTTAGGTTTATTTAGTGTCACTGCCCAAGTTAGCCACATTAAGCTTCATATATTAAAATATATATATATATTAACAGGAGGAAAAAAAAAAAGCATCCTGAGGCTTAAAGAACCATTTCAAGTCAGCCACAAACCAAAACATTTTTGAATCTCAAGACTTAATTCTATTCTTACTACCTCCAGTAAAACTAAGTTTCACTTTTTAATCTGTGTGTATATTTCACTGTGGAAACGGGTTTATTAACAAATTTAATGCCAATTAATTGGCATTAAATACAAAACAAAAACTTCAAGAAGAAAAAAAGGTAAGGTTTGTTGGGGCAATCACCACATAGCCAGAGACACTGAAACCAACAAAAAAAAAAAACCAAACCCAAGTAACCAAAAACCCGTCGTACCCTTTACTCCCATCACAGCAACATCCAAAGCCCCTGGCTGAGCCCTTGACTACGTAGTCGAGCTGGGCTACGCCTGAACATCCTCCCTGAATAAACACTGAATCAACAGCTCTAAGAGCTCAGAGCCCACACCTGACATGGCTTAAAGCCATTAACAGTCTCAATGAACCACAGGCGAGTTGATATTCTTAAATTTAAGCCATTAGGGCTCCAAATGAGTATGTTCTGCCAGGGTCCATCCTCAACCCACAGTCCCACATAGGTCCCCACCTGCACAGAATGCTCAGAAATACCTCGATGGATACCCAGATCCTCAAGGACGCCGCCTGGCCGCCAGCCTTCCATTCAAAGTAACGCAAATTAACCCAACTTTCTGGGGTTTTCTCATTAAAATGTAAAGCAATCTTGCAACAGCAGGAGTTTTAATTCCCGCAACCGCCCGCGTTTCGGGAACAAGCAAGCAAGCCAATCCACAAGTTCTTTTTTTCACACGGGAAGCAGAAGCCGGGCAGCCTGCGAGCGGTGCCAGACAAAACCCCGCGGCTCTGGGGGCACCCCAGCCGCGCCCCGCTCTGCCCGGCACACGGCGGCCGATGAAACACCAGCAACCAGGCGCAAATCATCGCAGAGGGCAGCGGCAGCGCGACCCGCCCGGCCCCGCCGCGCCCACCCCGCCGGCCCGCGCCGAGGGACCGACCCCGGCGCCGAGCCCGCTCCGCCGAGCCCGCTCCGCCGGGTGCGGCACCGCCGAGCCCGCTCCGCCGGGTGCGGCACCGCCGGGTCCGGCACAAGTTGCGGCCCCGGCGCCGCAGGGAGTGCGGAGGAGCCGCTCCCGCGCAGCGCAGCGAGCCTGGCGGTGCCGGCCCCGCCGAGCCGCGCCGCGGATGGGGCACAGTCCCCCGGGCGCCGCTCCCGCCCCGAGCCGCTCCCCGGCGGGCAGGGATCGCCGGCGGGGCGCGGGGCTCCGCCCGCCCGTGGCCGCGTCCCTGCCGCCGCCGGAGCCGGACAAACTTTCGCATCCCTCCTGCGCGCCGGGCCGGGCTCCCCGCGTCCGCCGGTACCTGCCGGGGCCGCCGCGGCGGGGCGGGCGGCTCTGCGCGCTGCTGCTCCCGCGGGCCGGCGGCCCATGCGCCCGGGGCAGGGCAAGGGGCCGCCCTGCACGCCCGGCTCCGGCTCCAGCGTCGCCGCTCCGCGCCGCCACCACAACTCGCTCCGGCGTCACCAGGACAACGAGCGCCCGCCCTTGGCCGAGCCCCCTCCCGCCTTCCCTCCCGCCCTCCCCGCGGCGCCGCCCGCGCGGGGCCCCCACGTGGGGCCGCCACGCCAATGGCAGCCGGGGTGCGGCCGGCGCCGGCGGCGGGAGCCGCGCTCCGGGCGGGAGCGGCCGTGAGGGGCGGCGGCAGGCAGCGGCCGCCAACCCCCGCCACCTGCCCCTTCGGCTCTGCCGTGTCACCTGCCCAAAGATACCCTCGGGGCCGCAGTGTCGCCAGCAGAGCGCTGCGACAGGCTTTTGGACAGAGCGTGGCGTGTCCCTCGTCTGCCCAGCCCAGCCCGCTGTCCCGCATCCCGTGCCCGTGCCTTGGCATCGCTGCAGGACCGCGGGCTCACAGGTCCGGGGCACGCCACCCAAGGGATACCGCATGGCTGTGTTGGTCGCACAGCACTATCAATGCAATGTGTTGTTGGTACCAAGCGTGTCTCCATTAAGTCTGTATTAAAAAAAAAACTAATGTAAACGCGGTTATCGCCCTCTCGTTAGTGCAGACCTTGCGTTGCTTGGAGCTGGGCCAGCTGCTCCGGAGCCTCGCAGGCTTTAACAAGCCAGAGCTAATAAGCCAAGCTGGGTGTAAATTCACTCCTCGCAGAGCCGCTTAGGAAGTTCAACACCAGTTCTGGAAATTACAAGTAGCTGCACTCCAGAAGGTTCAGCAGAAACAGTCTTTGGTCCAACTCGATTTTCTGGCCCAGCAGCCTTGGTCACCCTGCCTGGCCCACGCATCTTCTGTGGGGGAGCAAAAGGAGTGCTAGCAAGTATTATCACAGATGCGAAATAAAGGGGGATTTATATCAAAAGATTTGGCCCCAAATTGCAATGCATCTCTTTTAGTGGGAGTGCTGTAACATACTGTTCTGAGCAGAATGTTACTGTCCAAGTCTGGGCTGGCTGGAGGCCACAGAAGTAGGGTAATGTTGAGGGATTGCTGATTTCTGAGGGCAATCAGCAGGTCACGCTTCACCACCTGACCACAGCCCAAGGAACCAAGGGTGGCTCCTGCCATCCACCCTCCACCAGACATTAGCAAGAAGAGGAGTGGTCCCTGTTCCATGGGAGCATATATTCAGAAGCATCATCAGCTTTCACCCTTCCTATCCCAGCTAGGAATATTACCAGCACAGCTTTTCAAGGCATTTTCCTCATTTTCTCTCCACGCTTGCTAGGTTGTCCTGTGTGTGACTCCTTCAATGGCACCTCATTCCTGAGCAGAGAAAATTTAATTCAACCCCAAATAAAGTTATGGCTATAGTCTTGCCCTTCTTTTAGCTTTATCCTTAAAGCTTGATTCATCAGAGCTTTCAGGCTAGTATTTGGTACATCTACCAGTAAATGAAATTTTCATCTCATTTAGAGCATTTCCTTAATTCTGTACTTTAAATGTCAAAATATGTGGCCTCTGTAAAAAGTAACCTATGAACTTAGGTTGCCTAAGGTTTTCTTTAAGCTTACCTGGAAAAACAAGATGTCACAAACATCTTTTTTTGTGCTCTTGGGCTGCTGTGGCTCTTGGGACCTTTGGGGACAATGTGTCTTGCAGAAAGCTTTTTTTGCTGTGACTGTCTGGCCTGTGTTCCAAGGCCTTTTTAAGCATTTTAAGGAACTTGCTGACTGCCAGCTCCTGTGGAAGATGATGTTTCTGTCAGTGTGTGACCCACTGACATTTTTTTCATTTCTCGTGTGGACAACAGGAATGAGAAATTAAGCCAAACTGGTTCTTTGGCAAGTTCAGGTGGTATTTTAGTATGGTAAGAGATGGTTTATAATACATTACTTAGAAACTCTGCTTCTA